GCCACAATGAAGCACCTGAGGCACCTGCGGTACCGCCTCTCGCCCGCTTCTCCTCCTGACTCTGCTAGAGAGCCGCAGACTTGGCCTCAGACAGCCTGAGCAGCTCTACCTTCGCCTCGAGCTCATGGGACGCTCAGAGACACGCCGACACGGCACGTCCTCCTTGGAGGCGCGCGTCCGACCCGAACATATATGATACCCATATTGCATGGTATCGTTTCTCGAAGGTGGCCAGAAAGCGCCCGCCACGACGCACATACTATAAGATGCCCCGGCGCGCGCGTCGCCCCTGGGGGGGCGACGCACACATAGGATAAGTATGTTGGGGTGACGCCGAGCTCAGCCGACGATGCAGAACCCGCTGGCGCTGGCGCATCAGGCACAGGCTGAACTCCCGCTTGAGCTGGAACTCCCGACGAAGACAAACCAACCAGTATGATCACCTCCTCCACCACCAGAAACTGGAACTGGATAATCCGCCTTCCTTTCTTATCACGCAAAGCTGCGCGCACCCGCGTCGCCTCAGCAACGAGCTTGCTGACAGCCTCCGCCTTCCCGTCGACGGGGTGCCGCATGGCTTGCAGCTCGTTTTATACCTCTTTCAACTTGTTACGCTTCCTGGACTCAGTCCAAGTCGCCAAGGTTTTTCCGACAAGAAAAACTACTTGCCGAAGACCACCGCAAACGGCTTTCCAGAATTTGGGAAGCCGCTGGGCTTCGCCAAACCCTACTGGACTGCAACGCCCCTTAGCAGCTTGTCTACGAAGAAAACCGGAGTGTGCCACTTCACGTGCCAAGCGAAACTCTTTCCCACGAGCTACCGCTACGCCTGATTGAGCGTGCCTCTAATATGATTGATCTGATCTGATCTACCCTACGACAAGTGCTTGATCTGATTGAGCGTGCATCTAAGCTGCGTCCCTTCACGCTCCGTCCGCACTATTAAGCGAATCCGCCACGTCACCCGTCGAAGTCTGCGCCAAACGCCACCTTCAGGCTGGGGTCTTGCGCCGCCGCCAAAGGTCTCTTCAGCAACGGGAGAACGGTCAAGCCATCAGCAGTAGCCCCCGAACCCGTGGCAGACCTCTCATCACCAACAACGCCAGAGCCGCCATTACCGCTGGGAAGCGGAACGTGTAGTTTCACTCTGCGCCCACACTTGGCACATCTAAGGCATATGTCAAAGAGCTTCTCGTTATATTATGTCTGCCCACAGCCCTTGCACGTAGACTCAGGTCGGGCCTGTCCCGTAGAGGGGGATTTGGGGCGAACAAGAAAAAACAAAAAAACATACGCCAACATAGTGAAAAGTATTCCGAAAATCCCCCCTGGCGATGTTGAGAGTATTTTGAATGTTCCTCCTGTCGAGGGGCACGCCCGACTCAAACGTAGACCGATGACGAACGGCCATCACAACGTGAATTAGCCTCGGCCTCAGCCCACACACACACGGCGAGACAGCGCGGGCACCCAAGGCTTGGGCTGGTGCCAGAATACTCTGAACCCAAGTGACCTGAGAGGAGAAGTAAAAGGAGGAGGAGGAGGAGGAGAAGGAGGAGGGGGAAGAGGAGGAGGAGGAGGAGGACGACGAGTGGAAACCCAAAAGTCATCGACGATGTTGGAAGTAACCCTCCCTCCAAGCTCCCTCTTCATAGGCCCCTACAACGGTTCGTTTCCATTGAAGGAACTCTTTGGAAGACAACAGTTTAAAGATCCTGAAGCGCGCCAAAACATTGTTCTCGGGTTTCAATGCCACATATCAACTTGACGGCTGCGTCCTGACGATCCAGGATCGTGCAAGAACTCCATGTTTGGGACTTCAATACAGCGAACCAACATAACTGTTGTGCCCGCATAACCCTGAATCCTTCTGAAACACCATGTCTGGTAGGTTGATCATGGGAGTCCGTGAAACTCCTGCAAATTGTTACAACGAATGTGCGCGGCGAGAAAGCGAGAGCCACATCTTGAACAGGAACCGCCCTCAATCCGTGAAACTCTTGCAAATGTTTAAAACGAATGTGTGCGGCGCCGAGGCGAGAGCCACATCTTGAAAAGGAACCGCCCTCGATCCGTGAAACTCTTGCAAAATTGTGAAACGAACGTGCGCGGCGCTAAGGCGGGAGCCACATTTTGAAAAGTAACCGCCCTCAATCCGTGAAACTCTTGCAAATGTGTGAAAAACATGTGCGCGGCGCTACAGCGAGAGCCACATTTTGAAAATCACCCGCCCTCAATCCGTGAAGCTCTTGCAAATGTTTCAAACGAATGTATGCGGCGCTCAGGCGAGAACCACACTTTGAAAACGACCCGCCCTCAATCCGTGAAACTCTTGCACATGTTGAAAACGAGTGCGCGCGGCCCTCGAGCGAGAGACACATTTTGAAAGCGAACCGCCCTCCATCTGTGAAACTGTTCTCAGGTGAGGAAGTCTCAGGCGAAACGCCCGGTCCGCCCTAAAAACTGACCTCGGAGTGCGAAAGGGAGGAGTTATCTACAAGGAGAAGGAATAGAGGAAGCGAGGAGGAAGTAGGGGATGGAGGAGGGAGGGAGGGACCGCACAGGAGGGAGGGAGGGAGGGAGGGAGAGAGGAAGGGCAGGGCAGGGCAGGGCAGGGCAGGGCAGGGCAGGGCAGGGCAGGGAAGGGAAGGGAAGGGAAGGGAGGGAGGAGGAGAGAGGAGGAGGGAAGAGTAGGGAGGAGGAGAGGGGAGGGGACAGGGCTGGCGGGGGGCGGAGGCCAGAGGCGAAGGGGGCAGGGAGCCGCCGCTGGCGGAAGCGCAGCTGGCCGGAGTCGCTGGCAGTCGGGCTTGTCGCACATGACGAGGTGTGTGAATTTGGCGGCCTTTTGCAAAAAAAAAACAATCCTTCGCACATGACGAGATGTGTGGGTTTTTTTGCAATCCCTCGTTTTTTTGCAATCCTTGCGGCCTGCCGGGAGGCAGAGTACAACATCGAGGACAGGATGGCCCCCCCAAACAAGGGAGCCCCAGGCTGTCCTCGGCGGGCCAGGCTCGCAGTGAGCGCATGGAGGAGGAGAAGGAGGAGGAGGAGTAGGAAAAATGAGGACCGAGCGCGCGAGGAGCGCGGAGGAAGAGTGGCGATGGGGGGGATCGAAAAGAGGGGACCCCCAGCTTCCCAAGCTTCAGCTTCCCCAGATTCCCAGGCTATGGGACGCCGGAGCGTCAATGCACCGAGTTCCTTCGCAAGAGTGGGCAGCCCCGTGGCCGACCAAACGACGCAGTGTATACGTCGAGCCCCTCCGAGAGGAGGAGGAGGAGGAGGAGGAGGAGGAGGAGGAGGAGGAGGAGGAGGAGGAGGGGGAGAAGGAGGAGGAGGAGGACGAGGAGGAGGACAAGGAGGACGAGGAGGAGGAAGAAGAGGAGGATAGGGATGAGGTGGCGCAGGAGGAGGAATGTATGATCAGGCGAGGGAAGGCGGACGACGACGACGACGACGACGACGACGACGACGACGACGACGACGGCGCGATCACAACGGCGATCGAGACGGCGATCGCGACGCCGCCAACGCGTGAGGCCGCGTAAGGCCGACGAAGACCGACGGCGTCGTCGCCGCTGCAGCCGCCGGGCCACCCCGCGGCTGGAGGGAGGGGGCCCGGGTCCTCCGCGCAGCAGATGTCCACCAGCGGCAGGGGGCTGCCCCCGTGGTCGACGGCCTCGGACACCTCCCGCATGAGGTCCTCGGCCGGGAGCGGCGGCGGGGGGCAGGTCGCAGGGGGGCGAGGGGGATCTGAGGCAGGGCGTGCCCTCGCCCTGTCGGGGCCTCCTGGAGCGCCCTCGCTCTTTGTGCGTTCGCCTTCGCGGGCTCGCGGCCTGGAGGGCTTTGATGGCCACGGGTATGCAGCTGCTCCGACACTCCCGGGTCCTGTGGTGGCCCCTCTGCTTCTGCCAGCGCGTCCTACACATGTACGTACGGCTTCTGACCTGACCTGGAGCGACCGTGTCGCCATGGCTGTCAGATGCTCGTTCTGGGGGCCTTCCTGGAGCCGCTCGCTTCACGCGTGCGTGGATGCTGCGTCGAGGGTCCGGAGACATGAGTCGACCTTGAGTCGAGCTAGAGTCGAGCTAGATTCCAGCCAGAGTCGAACTGGAGTCGAACAGGCCTGCTGGGCGGGCCCCAGGACGGCCCCAAAAGACAACATCCAACGGCTGGGTCCGCCTCGAGGCTCCGGCCACAACGCACCCCCGAAATGGTCCAGGGCCCGACGGCTTCGGGCACTGCCATCACGCGGCCCTCCGCACAGGACACGGGCCCGGGCCTCGAGCACCGCGGCGTGGGCACCGCGGTTTTGGCGCGCAGCTTCTGCCCCTCTTGGGCCTCCCCGGGGCGCCCGCGCCGCAACGCCCCCTCACGTCCAGAGGACCCGGGATGCTCAGGACCGTCCCCAGGACACTGGCCGCACGCAAGACATGGCCCCCGGCCCCAAGGGGCAAGTGTTGAGTCGGGCCTGTCCTCCTACAGAGGGATTTGGGACAACAAATAAAAGTAGTCCAAAATGTAATACCCCACAATGGTCCAAAACAAATGATTCACCCAAACAAAAACGTCCCCAGACTACGCGTGACTAGTTTTGAACAGTCCTCCTGTAGAGGGACAGGCCCGGCGCAAGGCAAGTGCGGCCCACGCTGCGCGGCACGCCGATCGCGACACTGCGGTGCGACGGCAGCGGGGCCTGCGCGCCTGGGCGTGGCGTCCACGCGCGCCCGCGCACCAGCGGGCCACCGTGGCGGAGGGGCGCCCCGCAGGCGCGGCGGCCGAAGCGAGGCGTCCGGGCCTCTCGCCTGGGAGCGTGCCCGAGACGGCACGGGTCAGAGGAGGAGGCGGAGGAGGAGGAGGAGGAGGAGGCGATGAAGAAGGAGGAGGAGGAGGAGATGAAGGAGGAGGAGGAGGAGGAGGAGGAGGAGGTGAAGGAGGAGGAGGCGGCGACGACGACGCGGCGGCGGTGCTGGCGGCTGGCGGCTGGCGGCGGCTGGCGACGTTGTTTTGCTAAGTATGCGCGCGCTCTCCGGACGGAACGAGGCGCGCCGCGGCCGAGGCTGGGGAGGCCATGGTGGCCAGCGAGGCCGGGAAGGCCTCGCCGGAGAACGGAGAGAGAGGAAGGAGGAGGAGGAGTATGGGAGGGGATGGGAGGGGATGGGGGGGAGGAGGAGGAAGAGGAGGAGGAGGAGGAGGAGAGGAGGAGGAGGAGGAGGAGGAGGAGAGGAGAGGGAGGAGGATCGAAGGGGGAAGGAGGGAGCGGGGCGGAGGGGGAGGGGGGCGGGGAGGGAGGAGAGGGAGGAGGAGGAGGAGGAGGAGGAGGAGGAGGAGGAGGAGGAGGAGGAGGAGGGAGGAGGAGGAGGAGGAGGAGGAGGAGGAGGAGGAAGAGGAGGAGGAGGGAGGAGGAGGAGGGAGGAGGAAGAGGAGGAGGAGATCAGAGGAGGGTGGACAGAGCCCGCACCGCTGGACGGATGATCACTCCCGGGCCTCCGAGACTGCATCGAGGAAGACCAGGGCGCGGGCGGACAGGCTGGCCGACCGCGCTCCCATAGAGCACGCGGCCGGCGCGCGCTGCTCACCCGCTCAGGCCGTACCTGGAGGAGACGACAGCTGCGCAAACTACAGCCATCAAGCGATCGGCAGATCGTCCATGCCCCTGCTCACGTCCCCAACCCCGTGAGGAGCAAGAGCGGAGGGACGGACGAAACTCTGGCCTCCAGGGCCACGCGTCTCTCCACGCCCTGAGTAGGGCACAGCATGTGGATCGAGCGTCGATCGTCGACCATCGGGCTATCAAGCGGAACGCTGTAGCAGGAACGGAGGGCGCCGAGAGTAGGGGACAGCATGTGGATCGAGCGTCGATCGTCGATCGTCGGGCTATTACGAGGAGCGCTACAGCAGGAACGAAGGGGCGCTCCTTGCCACGGCGAGCCTCGGACACGAAGAGATCCCCCGACCTAGATCTGCAGAACGGCCCAGCAGCCCGAGCCCCCCCTGAGCCCGAAGTGGTCCTTGCCTCAGCGTCTTGACTGTAAATGCCTAAACCAGTAGAAGAAGAATAATGATAAGAATAAGAATAATAAGACGAAGGAGGAGAAGAAGAAGAAGGAGAAGAAGAAGACGAAGTGGAGCAACAACAACCATACTCTCTCAAAATCCGCGCAGGGTTCTCGGATCGCGCAAGCTCCGCGCGGAAGTCTGCGGGGGCGGCGCCGAAGGCGCCGTCGGCGGGTCCCGACGCCGATCCAAAGAGTGCTTGCGGACCTCCGAAGACGTGCGTGTGTGTGCGTGTTGATTCAGTTCTTATACCTGGTCGCCGCACCTCACGCACCGCGCCGCGCGAGGCGCGACGCGCGGCCATCTGCAGCGCCCCCCGCCACCCCGCGCCGCCTTCAGTGGAGAGACAGCCGCTCCAGCCCGGGCCGCGACACGCGGAGCGCGCTTTACCTTCGCGCACCCACGGGTGACCTAGACTTCAGTCGGGCGTGTCCCCCTAAAGGCGGATGTTGGACGATTAAACAAAAACAACAAGAACAACAACAACAACAACAACAACAACAACAACAACAACAACAACGAACAAAAAAAACATGGGCCAAAAGACTGCAACGAGTATTGTTCTACTATGTTTGCATGTTCCTCCTGTAGAGGGACACGCCCGGCTTAAACCTAGACAAGCAAGCACTTTCGGAGGTCCGCGCGGGTATCTTGAATCGGCGCCGACCCCCCTCGCGGCGCCGGAGGCGACGCCAGGGGGCTTCAGCGCAGATCGAAGAAATCCGCTCGCGCCTCCGATATTGTGAGTGTGCCTGTTCCTGATGCTTCTGATATGATTATTACGTTTCATCAGTATTGCTTACGTTTCGTCTGACTCGTATCGATAGTGCTACTCTTCCTACTATACGGTGAACATTCAATTTCGTTCGTAGTCTTCTCAGTCTAGATACTAACACTCCTCCTATGATTAGCATTGCTAGTGTTCGTAATGTTTGTCTGTGTCTGCCTATTACGAACAATATTCTTAGAATGGCCCCATACAAGGACCTACAACTCCTAGTCTCACTTCTATGATGCTTGTGCATACGCTTCTTCCTGTTACCGTTGTGCTTCTGATTCTCTCCGAGCACCTCTGCGCCAGCTGCGCCCGGAGCTCCGGGGAGAGCTGGGCGCAGAGCGCGGGCCAGTGCTGCCCGAGGGCGGTGGACTGGCGCAGGCGGTTGAGCAGGATGCACACGGCGGCGAGGAGCTGGTCGTGCCCCTGCACCTGCCAATTCTTGACATCTCTCCTCTGCAGGATGGCCAGCAGCGCCGTCGCGATGGGGTCCAGGTGCGCGCTCACCGCCTCGGGCGGCGCGCGCTGGCAGACCTCGCCGAGGGCCCAGCAGGCATTGATGCTGACCGTCGGGGACGCCTTCGGGCCGAGCCCGTTGGCGGCGCTGAGCGGCAGGAGCTCCGGCAACAGCGGCTGCAGCTGCTGGAAACAGTGTGTGGCACTCACCGACATCAGCCAGAATCCGCTCTGCCGGGCCCGCGCAGAGGGGGACCGCAAGCATAGCGCGATGCCAGCGAGAAAATTTAGGCTCGCCGCGGCCTGAGGGGCCTGCTCCTGCAGTCCCTCTAGTATGCCCGAGAGAACGTCGGCCGACGCGGACATTATGTCAGTGTCTGGCCGCTCGAACTCGTTGGGGTTCTGCTCCCACATCTTGACGGCCATTGCTGTGTCATTTATGCTCCGCACGCAGCGCATGATGACCTTGGGGATGCGCTGGGCAACCCCTTTGCAGAGCACCTGGCACACGCTAGCCACACACTCAGACAGCGGTAACGCCAGCACATCAGTGTCTGGAGTTAAGTCGTACTTCTGGAATACCACGTCCAGAAGGCCCTGAACGTACTGCGGCTTGTCCAGCTCGGTGCCTACTCCCCAGACCAGCCAGTTCACGGTGTCATATAAAATCTGTTGGTTTCTTACCTGATACAGGGACAGCGCTTGCACCAGCGTCTGAACTATGTCGTTCAAATATGGTACCAGCTGGGCCTTCCCAGTCTCCTCAAGGGACATCAATGCGCTGATCGTTGCTTCCTGCACGCGCTTGTTTCGATCAAGGCATCGCGGCAAAATGACCTTCAAAACAGAAGGGATTACCTGCTGGCGCGACGCGTTGCTCTCGCTAAAAATCCAAAGTCCAAAACGACCCACACACCAGCTGGAGATGCTACGAAGGAGTGGCTGGGGTGCGTCGCATAGTCGGAGCAGCAAATTTATGACTGCGGGCAAAAACTGCTGTAATCTGTTCTGACAGTTGACGCCCACGGCGCCAAGCGCAAGCACGCCGGCCTCCTGATGCTCCCAACTAGCGTGGTTTAGCTTCTGCTCTATCTGTGGCAGCACAAGTGGTACCACGAGCTCTGGGCAGACGGCTGAGATACAATCCAACGACTTGGCTGCAGCCTTTCGAGCGGTCCACTCGTCGGCTGTCCAACCGTGAGTTGACTTGTCGGCAGGCTCATCGTCCTCGTCACCGTCAATATTCTTTGACTCCGCATGGAACCGTGGCTTTATGGAATTGGGGGGATCTGGAACGTTCGCGTTGTCGTTCTCGACCTGCGAGGGCTCCAGTATCATGTAGTCCGCCTCGGAATAGACCTAACTGGCAGGAAGCAAATATTACGCCGACACCGATCATGGCCAGGCCAGTCCTGAGCCCCAGATCAGTGTATAGGCCACCCTCCTAAGTCTGGAGGCGTACTTATGCACCGATCCTGGACCAAGATCTGTCTGGCCAGAGTCGGTGTCGGTGTGCTCGGACTTGTCACCGTCGGCCCCCGCAACTCTCGACTCCACCCCCAAAGCAGATCTCCTGTCGCAAGCCGATCTCTCCTGGCCCTGGAGGCCCACAAACGGCCGCTGCAGGCGCAGTTTGCAGCAGAGCGCCCACGCTGCTTGCTTCGCGGCGCCCCAAAGTCTGCGTAGCACCATGAATCGGTCCCCGAACCCTCCATCCTACCGAATGTTTCGATCCGCGCTGAGCCGCGAGGGCAGTACGCAATACGACAAAACTTGGCTTGTGAAATTGTGATACCTGGAGGTCCCCAAACCCCCGAGGTCCCCTCGCAGCCTGAAGGACACCTAACCAGAAGCAGTACAACAAGAATATGTCCTCGGACATCGACCCTCAAGACTCCCACCGTCGTGACTTTGCACTCCTATGAAGGGGCCCAGGGACACACAAACAAATACACACAAATCCCAAGATTCCCAATCTGTTCGATATTTCCCAAGCATCCTGTGAAGTTGGGTCCTCGTTTTGAAGAGACGGTCCATTCACTCCTCCCGCTGCCCCTCCCCCCTCCTCCTCCTCTCATCACCATCATGATCGTCATGATCATCATGATGATCATCATCAGCATGATCATCATCATCATCATCATCATCATCATCATCATCATCATCATCATCATCATCATCATCATCATCATCATCATCATCATCATCATCATCATCATCACCGTAATCATTACCATCATCATCAGCAGCATCAGCATCAGCATCAGCATCAGCATGAGCATCAGCATGAGCATCAGCATCAGCACCATCATCATCATCATCATCATCATCATCATCATCCTCATCATCCTCATCATCATCACCATCATCATCATCAACAACATCATCATCGAGAGAGAGAGAGAGATGGAGAAAAAAGAGAAAGAGAGAGAGAGAGAGCGTGATCCACCGCCGCTTCACTGTGGAAAATTCCCCCCCCTCTTCCTCTGGAACCCGGGCCCCTTCCCCCCCTACGAAAATCACCCCCCCCTGCTGGACCCCCCCCCTTCCCCCGGCAAAAAAACCCTCCCTCCCCTAACCCCCCCCCCCTCCCCTCCAGAAAACCGGGGGGGGTCACTTCCGGTTCGAAACCCCCCCCCCCCCCTCGGAAAACGGGGGGGGGGTCACTACCGTTCGAACCCACCCCCCCAGAAAACCAAAGGAAGGTCACTACCGGTTCGAACCCCCCCCCCCTCCGGAAAACCAGGGGGGGTCACTACCGGTTCGAATCCCCCCCCCCTCGAAAACCGGAACCGGGGGGGGTCACTACCGGTTCAACCCCTCAAAAACTGGGGGGGGTCACTACTGGTTCGAACCCCCCCCCCCCCCCTCGAAAACCGGGGGGTCACTACCGGTTCGAACCCCCCCACGCCTCACCGCCAGCAAACGACTCCCGGTCCCTACCACCGTCCGCACCACATCCCCCACTACTGTTCCCAGCACCACTGTCCTCACCACCACTGTCCCCACTGGTTCCACCACCGTCCCTACTGTCCCCACCAGTGCCCCCACCACTGTCGCACTGTCCCCACTGTACCCACCACTGTTCCCACCACGGTTCCACTCTCCCCACTTTCTCCACGGCCCCAACCACTGCCCGACTATCCCCACTGTCCCCACTGTCCCACTCTCCTCCGCTGTCCCACTGAGCTGTCCCACTGTTCCCACCACTGTCCCCACTGTCCCCACCACTGTCCCCACTGTACCTCTGTCCCATTGTCCCACCGCCGTCCTCGCCACCGCCCTCACCACTGTCCCCACCACCACTGTACCCTCCACTGTCCCACTGTTTCCACCACATTCCCACTGTCCCCACACCACTGTCCCCACCACCACCGTCCCCACCACTGTCCCACTGTCCCCACTGTTCCCACCATTGTCCCCGCTGTCCCCACCAGTGCCCCCACCAGTGTGTCAATGTCCCCACTCTCCCCACCATTGTCCCACCACGGTCCCACTCTCCCCACTTTCCCCACGGTCCCCACCACTGTCCCACTGTCCCCATTGTACCCACTACTGTCCCACTGTCCCCGCCGCTGTCCCACTGTGCTGTCCCAGCGTCCCCACTGTCCCCATCACTGTCCCACTGTCCCCACTGTCCCCACCACTTTCCCCACCGTGCTACTGTCCCACCACTGTCCTCACCACCGCCTTCACCACTGTCCCCACCACTACCGTCCCCACCACTGTCCCACTGTCCCCACCACTGTCCTGCTGTCCCCTCACCACTGTCCCCACCACCACCGTCCCAACCACTGTCCGCACCCCCCCCAGTTTTCGAGGGGGGGGGATCGAAATGGTAGTGACCCCCCCCGGTTTTCGAAGGGGGGGGGGGGTTCGAACCTGTCGTGACCCCCCCCCCTTTTCATGATGGACTGGGGGGGAGGGGTTCGAACCCGTAGTACCCCCCCCCCGGTTTTCCGCCAGCAGCTGTAGAACACGCTCTTTCTCATCAGCAGCGCCATCATCATCATCATCATCATCATCATCATCATCATCATCATCATCATCATCATCATCATCATCATCATCATCATCATCATCATCATCATCATCATCATCATCATCATCATCATCATCATCATCATCATCATCATCATCATCATCATCATCATCATCATCATCATCATCATCATCAATCATCATCATCATCATCATCATCATCATCATCATCATCATCATCATCGTCATCATCATCATTATCATCATCATCATCATCACCATCATCATCATCATCACCATCATCACCAGCATCATCATCATCATCATCATCATCATCATCATAATCATCATCGTCATCAGCATCAGCATCAGCATCAGCATCATCATCATCATCATCATCAGCATCATCATCATCAGCATCAGCATCAGCATCAGCATCAGCATCAGCATCATCATCATCATCACCATCATGAGCAGCATCATAATCATGATCAGCATAATCATGATCATTATCATCAGCAGAAGAAACATCATCAACAGCAGCATCATCAACATCATCATCATCAACATCAGTATCATCATCATCATCATCGTCATCATCACCATCACCATCATCATCATCATCATCAGAATCAGCATGATCAACCTCATCATCATCATCAGCACCAGCAACATCAGCAGCATCATCACCGTCAGTAGAATCATCATCATCATCATCACCACCACCACCATCATCATCATCATCATCAGCATCATCATCATCAATATCATTATCAGCAGCACCATCGTCATCGCCCGTTTCAGCACACCCCTCACCCGCAGCTCTGGACCTCTTCCCAGAGCCAGATCGTTTTTGACGGCCCCAAGGCCCGGGGAGGGTCCCCAAACGCCAAGTAAGACAAAGACGCTGTCTTGATTTTTTCAATTCTCTGATAGTCGTCCCCACGGCCGGACCATGTTCGTGACTAGCACCGGCACCAGCTGCGGCAGCGCGGCCTGCAGCGGGCCCCACGAGTCGGGCTGGCCGGAGCACGAGATCCAAACGCCGAGGGCCTCGGCCCCGTCGTTGACCGCCGCCGCGGCCGCCGCCGCCGCCGCGGTCGTCAGCGTCATCGTGCTTGTAATCGTTGTCGTCGTCGTCGCCGCCGCCGCGGTCGTCGGCGTCGTCATGGTCATAATCGTCGTAGTCGTGGTCGTACTCATCGTCGTCGTCGTCGTCGTCATCGTCGTCGTCGTCGTCGAGTCACTCGCCGTCGTCATCGCCGCCGTCGTCGTCGTCGCCGCCTCCGCCGTCGCCGCCGCCGTGGCCGTCGCCTTCGCCGTCGCCGTCGCAACCGCCGACGCCGCCGCCGCCAACGCCGTCCTCGTCGCCGTCCTCGTCGTCGTGGTCGTGGTGGCCGCCCTAAGACCCCACCACGTCACGAACAGTTCCCTGCGAAAGGCGCATGCCATGGCAATCTTCGGCCGCTGGTGCTTCTTGCTGGGCCCTGGGGCCGTCAAGGAATGGCTCGGGAAGAAAGCTGGTCCATCAGGAGGGGTCGGGAGCTCTGGGCGCATAAAAAGCATGATCGAAAAACGACGTCCTCGACGAGGGCCACCAGGCGCCGTCGTCGCCGTTCCCGTCACCGTCGCCCCTCCCCACCGTCCACGTTTGGGGGTCGAGGTCCGCATGTTGATTGTTCAGGAAAACTCGGCACCCTCGCGGCACCCTCGCGGCTACGGCTGGATCGGATCCACCCGGGAATTCCGACCAGAAAGCACCCCGGGAGAAGTCGTCGTCATTGTCGCAGTCGGCGGCGCCGCCGCTGCCGTCGGCTACTCTGCTCTCCTGGCTGCCAGGGGCGGGCCCCCGCAACCTCGCTGCAGCCCTGTTATGACCTCCGGATACGGCGCGGGACTTCTCGGCTCGGATCCGAAGCCACCCCCCCCGGCGCACAGACCGAGCACAGCGCAGACCCCAGAAGCCAACAGGGGCTGTCTCTTCTGCGAGGTCTGGTCTGACTGCCTTGGCCCGAGTGGGCCCCGCCCATGATGGGCCTGGTCGCCACCACCACCACCACCACCATATAAGTTGGAAGGGAGATTTGTTTTTCCTCTGCTAGCCCCGAGGCGCGACCGACGTTACACTACATTAGTGCGTGCTGCTGGCAGCCTTTGCTGCTGCCTCCCTGGCCTGGACTCGCGCAAGTAAAGCGCGCATTCCAGGCGTCGACACCAAGCCCTCAAGGCTCGCTGCCGATGGCGCAGCGTCGGGCGGAGGAGGGGTGGTGACAGCATAGCGGAGGAGGAGGAGGAGGAGGAGGGGGAGGAGAGGGAGGAGGAGGAGAGGGAGGAGGAGGAGGACTGCGGAGTGCGGAGTGCGGAGTGCGGAGTGCGGAGTGCGGAGTGCGGAAACCGAGGGACGCCGTGTCCCGAAGCAAGCCTACGCACCCGCAGAAGAGCCCTCAATGGGGCCCCGAACCGAAGACCCAACACCAGACTGCACAATCTGTGATGAATGCCTCACCCCTTTAGGCAAACCTGCATAGCTAGGAATTCTGCGCGTCCAAATCCTAGCCACGTTTTCTATCCCCTTCTTGGTGGGGGGAGGCACGGCTTAGCAAGCCCAGCCAGCATATGGGTAGCTGTTGATCCGCACACATTTTCTGTTTCTGATTTTTTGAACGCTTTAAAACAAAAAATGGCTGTGCTCTGGCAACGAATAAAGCTCGTGAGGCCTGTGGACGTCTTGGTTTCCAAGGATCGAAAACGAGGAGCACCTAAGTATGTCGTTCGGGACGCCTGCCCCTCCCCCGACGCTGGGGGCCGCCCCCTCAACACGGGACCCAGGAATCAGGAGACGGCAAGCAGTGCACGACCAGCTACCTCCCTGGACGGGTGTCCAGGAGTGCTGGGAGGCCGTCAAGGCACGGGTGAGCCTCGACTGGGGGGCGGCTCGAGTCTTCGGAGGCCCGTTGGCTTCCCAGGCGCCCACGGCCAGCGAATCAATTAAGGCCTTGCGCGCACGGAGACGGACCTGTGCTGCGATGGCGTCCCAAACGTCGGTCCGAGGGACCGCGCCAACCACCCCCCGCTCCAGAGCCTCGAAGGCCGCCACCCCCGCCAGAGCGTCAGCACAAGCGTTGCCATAGGCACGGGAGACCACACTAGGCGAAACCAACAGGTGGGGCTGCTCATCCTTCTTGGACGGGATCCACACCGCCGAGGCCTCGGAAGCTCCTGGGGCCCCCTGGAGGTAAGAACCCTCTTGGTGCGAGCCCAATGGTCCCAATTGGTCCCCAGAGGAGAGACGCGCCTACAGGACAGCCACCCTTAGTAGAGGGCGCGATTATATGCATTAAAAACTTGCTTTTTTGTGGCCTCGACGGCGAGAACAAAGGCAAGGAGCTTGGCACGCGGCACTGTCTGGCGCGCTGAAACTCCGCCCGCAATGCCTCCAACGAGGCGCCACGAGCTCGCTTCACCGTCGTAGGCGATGGCGCAGCAGGCGGCCCCGACCCTCCGTCGGAGCGGACCCTCTGTGCGCGGGCCCCCGCTGCCGTCGCCGAAGAGGTGCCGGGCGCCACCCCCTCCGCGAGCCCCTTGGACGTCGCCGCCGACGCCGAGCGCCCACTCGGCGCAATCCTCGTCGCACTCGGGCGCGGTGAGCGCCAGCGCAGGAAGCCCGCGGAGCCACACTGCAGGCTGGCTCTCGCGCCGCACTCGCGCCTGTTCCTTGAGGCGCGCCGTCGAGTCGCACTCGGGGCATCCGCAATTCGCAGGGCGCGCCCAAATTCTGCGGTGCAACGTCTCCTCCGCCTGGCCACATCGGGGGCACAGCGCGGAGTCGAGCTGGCAGCCCGCGTCGCGCTGCTGAACCCTCGGCCACTGGCCCCCCGATGTGACCGCACGTTCTGGCAGTATAGGTCCATCTGGCCCTTGGCGAGGCACCTCTTCTGCTCCCTAGCTACGCCGGTGGCGTCGGCGCCCAGGTGGGGGTCCTCGCCGCGGGGGTGCCTGCTCGCAGTGGCCCACATGATCCTCTTGGGGCCCTCCACGAACTCGAGCTGGATCGCAGACGCGCCCACGTCGAGGTCCTCGCGGGCTGGGGGCCGCCACTCGGCGCCAGAAGCCGTAGTCCAAGATCGGGCCGAAGCGGGAGCCCAGCCCGCATCCATCAGCATCGCGATGGGCGCCGCCCGCGGGCCGCAGACCGCGCGCCACCTGCCCTCGGCCCCCGCCCTCTGGAGTTTGGCCAGGATCCCGGCTCGACGCCGAGGTGGAGGTCGGGCGCCATCCTCCACAGGTCTAGCCACTCGCCGCGCAGTTGGCGCCTGAGCTCGAGGCCCGGCCCCTTGTCTCCGTGGAGCGTGGCCAGGAGGCTGGCCGGGCACCTGCCAGGCCCTTGCCCGCCGCAGCTGCAGCCGCGCAGCGACGGAGCCGCAGGACGGCCGTTGGGGCGAGGCCGAGGGCCTGGCGCCCATGCGACGCCCTCGGCTGCGCGGCGGTGGCCCGCAGCGCCTCGGCGACACGGCTGAGGCGGACGCGGCGCCGCATCCGGATGATCCGTCGGAACTGGGCCTGGGCGGCCCGCTCCCTGGCCCTGGACTTGCGCCGAGGCCTGGCGCGCCCCGCTGCCGCGTCGACGCCGAGGTCGACTGCTCTGGCGGCGGCCCTGCGGGGGGGGGGGGGGCCTGCGCTAAAAGGCGCGCTGAAGGTCTTCGGCCACCCGCGGGTAGCTGGCGACGACGACCGTCTTGTCCGGGACCACCAGGCGCTGCTCGCCCAAGCCCTCCTCGAGGGTGACGGCCACGCCGAGGATGGCGGAGCGCGCGTGCTCCAGCTTGCCCTCCACCCTGGCGACCGCGTCGTCGACGAAGGCCCAGAGCCGCGCGCACTCCCACTGTCGGTGGGCCCCCTGCAGGATGGGGGCCAGGAACAGCTCGGCACACTCGTTGCCGCGCGAGCTGCCAGCCACCACCGAGAGCTGCGGCTGCAGAAGGGGCCCGAGCCACTTCTGCTGCTGGAGGTGCCTTGGCGCCATGAAGAATTGCGTCTCCAGCGCGAGCACCACTGCGGGAAATCGAAGCTGTAGTCCTACGCGCAGCAGTCGAGAAGACTATGCTGTCGTAGAACTTCTTGACGTCGAGAAGGAGCGCGGCCGCGTGGAAGCCCATGGCGCGCGCGGTCTCGCCCATGAGCGAGCGGGCGATGGCCGCGCGCAAACAGACCTACCCTCGATGGCGGTGTCCCACCACTGCGCCTGGGACTCCCCCCAGCTGTCCGCGACCGCGGCTCTCGCCGCGGACAAGAGCTTGGCCGTGGTGGCCAGCATTCCCGGCACACGATCACCTCCAGCAGGCGTCGGCACAGCAGCCCCGCTGGTGGCGGCCACCTGCCACGGCCAGATGGCCTGCTCCCCCGCCAGGTCGAGCAGGTCGACGAGCCCCTGCCTGGCAGAGGGCGGGGACCGCTGGAAGTCAGCAGCCACGATGTTGTCGATGCCCCTGGCCTTCCTGGAGTGCGCCCTGGACAACGCCACGTCGAGCCGCTCCAGCGCGACGGTGCCCAGCCGCATCTCAGCAGTCCGCGCGCGGAGCTCGCGCAGGTCCTGGGGGATCTGGCCCTCGTCGAACTCAAGGTCGGACCAGACCTGCCGCCACTCGGTGGTCTTGGACTGCATGAAGGTGTCGGGGTTCGCGATGGCGGCGCCCTCGTAGGGGATCTCAGTCTGCTGTCCCTGCGGTTCGTGGACGCGGCGGTAGGACGGCTCCTGCTTTCGCCCCCCACGCCTCCTTGGCCCAACTGAGGACACGGACACATCTCCTGGACCTGGAGTGGGACCTGCCAAGCGCGCGGCTGGCCCACGACTCAACGATCTCAACGGAGGGGCCCAGGACGGCGATGAGCTCGTCGGAGCTGTAGGTGGCGAACTCTACGCCGGCGCGGGCAATGAGGGTCCGCCTGGCGCCCCTCCACTCCGTGAGCTCGCCAGTGGTGGAGTTGCCGAAATACGTGGCCCTGTGCTGCTCGTCGTCGACGGTGCCGCAGCGGTGCTCGAGGTCGCCCTGGACGAGGTCGAGCTGGTCAGAGTCCGAGTCGTTGGCAACCAGGGCGCGCGCTCTGATGGCCAGGGTGGTGAGGGTGTTCCACACCTCCACTCCGATGTCCAGCGCGCGCGCTCGGCCTGGCGCGGTGGCGCCAGCTACTCGTCGGACGCCATGTCCATTCGCTCTCCCCCAGCGAGCGTTGGCCTGCTCAGGCGGGAGCTTCTGCGCGATCATGTGGGCCTCCTCCAGGTGGGTGGTCCACTATGCGTAGGCCTTGCTGACAGCGTCCGCAGCCTCGGGCCTGCTGGCCTGGATGAAGCGCTGCAGCTGGCCCGCAAGCGGGGCCGGCGTCGGCGGGGCGTCTGGGCGGCAGATCTCCTCCGCGATGAAGAAGGGCTTGCTGGGGCCCTGGTCCTCCTGCTCGTCCTCGTCCGCGAAGAGCCCAAGGTGGGTGGTCTGCAGCTCTGGGAGGAGGCTGCGAGCTCTCCCCCTGGCCTCCGCTTTGCGCCTGCAGGTTTTGCTGTCAGGGTCGGCGACCTGCATGGGCCTCTCCCTGGCGGGGGCGCTGCGGGCCACGTGGAGCTCGTCGTGGCGCCACTTCTGGTCGGAGCCCTGGATGGCGACCTCGACGCCGCAGCGGGTCTTCCACGGCACGCCGAAGATGGCCTTCAGCTGAAGGCGCCGGTGCCAGCCTTGCGCGGCGACGGCGTAGTCGTACATGCGGCCCTTGCCCTTGTCGCACGTACTAGCGTCGTAGGTCGGAGTGGCACCGCACCGCCTATCTTGCCAAGCCGCTCGCCATTGTCCCAGTCGGCGGGCTCCAGGTCCCAGTCCACCAGGACAGGGCGGCCACGAAGCTGCCCGCCGCCAAGAGCCTGGCGCGGTTGACCCCGTCGGGCTGGAGGCACGTGGCGACGAGGACCACGTTGCCCTCCTTGAGGTGGACCACCACTGGGCAGAACTTGCAGAACACCTCCATCCCCGTGGCTCGCAATTGCCTGCGGCGGTGCGCCTCGTAGGTCGTCGCCGCGAAGGTCTTATCCAGGCACCACATCACGCCTCCAGACCTGCCCGTTGAGGACTCCCCTGAAGCTGTGGCTGGCGTACCCGCGACCTTCCAACCATATTTGCCAAGGGCGGTCTGGGCCTCGGTAAGCTGGGCAGGGCTGCTGCGCGGTTCGACGAAGGCGACGGCGATGGCCGTTGCCATTTTGGCCCAGGATTTATACCTCGGCGGGCTGAGCCCGCATGGCAGACACGGATATCGCTAACCCGCGGCAGTCCTCAGCGAGTACGGAGGCCCTCCTTTCTCCCGCGCGCGATCAGGAGCCCCGGAGGGGGCGCGCGTCTGGAGCGGAGGGCTCACGAGCCTCCACTTCCCCTACAGACATGGGCAAGCGCCAGCAGGAGGAGCGCCGCGCCTTGGCTGGGCACCTCAAGTGCCAAGTCGCGCGGCTACCAGAGGAACTTCCAGAAGAGCACGACCTGCTGGAAATGCCAGGCGGGGCTCCGCCCGTCTGCGGGACCCCAGCAGCAGTCTGCTGGTGCGTGGGACGCCGGCCCTGGCAACTGCGGCGCGCCGCCCAGGCCAGGCCACGCCGCGCCTGGGCCCCCACCCTGGTACGGCGACCCAGGCCAGACGGCAGCGGGCCAGTGCAGGGGACAGGCGCGCAAGCCGAACACCTTCCCCAGGGCTGCCTGGACGCCGCCGCCCGACGACGAGCTCGCCCGCCTCCTGGCCTGCCCCGACGAGGGCATCATTTCGGAGCTCGAGCGCGCGATCAAGGCGGCCAGGGAGCACAAGCCAGCCCCGCCCCCGCAGCAGCCGCGCACTGTGGAGCAGCAGCTGCAGTCGGCTACGGGCCGCAGGCTGCACTGGACTGGCGTCCTCGCGGGGGCGGCTGAGGCGCACACCGACGCCGAGAACCGCCTCGTGGAGGCCAAGGAGTGACGCGACAGCTGCGCGGCCAACGTGGAGGCAGCGCAGCGCGAGGAGGCCGATCTCCTCGTACGCCGTGCCACGGAGACGGGTGCCTCCCCAGCCGTGGACCCCTCGAAGCAGGTCACCTCCAAATTCGATGTGGAGAATTACGAGGACTGGAATGACTTGGAGGAGGAGGCCCAGGCCACGCTGCGCAAGATGGGCGCGGACGGCATTGCAGCCACGCAGGAGGCCCAGCGCGCCTACGAGGCCAACTGCAAGGAGCATCATGAGAAGATCAAGCTATTCCGCGAGGCCTAGGCGAAGCGCCGCCGAGTGGAGCCCACGACGGCGCAGCCAGCTGGCCAGTGGAAGGCGGCGACACCAGCGGCTCCTGGGGGCGGCCTAGCGGCGCCCGCTGCGCCTCGCCTGCCGCTCCCCCTGAACCAGGCGCTGGCGGCGAGGCCGCTCTAGCCGCCCAGGATGCAAGCCAGAAGGCGGCAGCGGACCAGGCTGCCCGCAACGCCATGGACATCGCCGAGGCTGCATCCCAGGCCAGCCGCCAAGCCAAGACAGCCGCAGACGAGGCCAAGGGCCCTGCTGCTGCGCCGCCTGCGGGCACCAGCGCGCCTGCTGCTGGCACGGGGGCTGCTCCTGCTGGCACTCTGCCTCGGCTTTAGCTCGGCTGAGGCCAGCATGCCCTTCCACCTGCCAGACCATGAGGCCCCGTGGACGGGCAGGGTGGTCAGCACGGCAGAGTGGCGTGACGGCGGGACAGCTGGGGTGAGCGAGACAAGACGCATCAAGTGTGCCGCGGCCGCGTGGGTGACCGAGTCCTCACTCCATGTGATACCCGTCCCGATGCCGCCGACGGGCGGGTGGTCGATGCCTTCGGAGATGGGCCGAGCCCTCACTCCCGCTAGCCCAAGCCGCCGCCAAACCAAGGGCAACATGGACCATGAGGAGGCGGACCCGTTCGCTGACCTCGATGATGAACATGTTGAGCCACTTGACGCTGATGCCAGCCACCTTCACTACGGAGGCAATGATGCTGGACAGCAGCCCCAAAGCAGTGGCCATGCCGACGCTACTGCGGCAGCGGCGCGGCTGGGCCGCGCCAAAGGGGCCTACAAGCTACTTTTCTTGGAAAGATTGCCCGCTGGCCCCTGTGGCGCCGCGGGCGAGGGGGAGGCGCCGAGCGAGGAAATCAGTCCCTTTGGGGGCGCGGTAATCAGTTCGGGACGGGGTCTCCAGCCGGCTGCGGGCGGACATCCAGAGGCGCCCGCAGCGGCGCACGGCTGAGCAGAGACGCAAACAGAGAAAGGAGGGAAAGCAGGCCTTGGTCCTGCTTGCCAATATCATGGAGTATGGGCCCCAAAGCGGCCAAGTTCCTTGCCGACCGAGGCAAGAAGAAGTACAAGGAGGAGGAGGAGGAGGAGGAGGAGGAGGAGGAGGAGGAGGAGGAGGAGGGGGAGGAGGATGAGGAGAAGGACCCCCTCCCCTCCAACTTCTGGTGGTGGTGAAAAATTTGCCCCTCAGCCCAGGGGTGCGCTCCGACCGGGACGGCACGGCAGGCCCAGTCGCCGCGACGACAAGCCTCCCAGCACACACATTCAGAAACTAAAACGAGGAGCAGCGGCAAGAAGCCTCGATCCTCCGCCGTCGGCCCCAGGGCGCGCCGGACAGACGAGCCCCCCCGCCTGGCGGCGCGCCCACCCGAAACGGTGCGGTGGCGGACCGCGCGGTGGCCCCGAAGTCTCCGACGACTTCGCCGCCTTTGGCGCCGTCGCCGTCCTCATCGGCGTGTTCGTCGTCGTGACCGCCGCCGCCGCCGTCGCCGTCGACGTCAGAGGAGGAGGGGGAGGAGGGAGGAGGAGGAGGAGGAGGAGGAGGAGGAGGAGGACGAGGAAAGGAGGAAGGAGGAGGAGGAGGAGGACGAGAAAGGAGGAGGAGGAGGAGGAGGAGGAGGAGGAATTCCGTGCGCTCTTTGGGGGACCTCGGAGGCGCCGGGCGCCCGAGAGACGCCCTCGGGCAGCGGCCCGGTTCCCAGGGCCGCGCGGCCACCCCGAGCCCAGGCCACGCGGCCGGGCGTCGCGCATCGCTCCCCCGCGGTGCGCGGCCTCTCCGCGTCCTCGCGCCCCTGCGCCGCCCTCGGAGAGGGGCAGCCGCTCTGGCCATGACCGCGCAGCGCGGAGCAGGAGGGGGAGGGGAGGGGGAGGAGGGGAGGAGGGGAGGAGGGGAGGAGGGGAGGACTGAGGAGTATTTCTCCTCCCCGCCTCCCCCTCCCTCCCCTCCTTCCCCTCCTCCCCCCCCTCTGCGAACCGCTTCGGCGGCGCGCAGAGGTGGGGTCAGGGGGAAGGGGGCTTCGTAGAAGGAGGCTGCCTCTCAGAAGGCGCGGGCCTTGCATCCATGAAGAGGGCCCGCGCCCCCAGAGAAGCAGGGGTGCTTCTGAGAAGCCCCCCTCCCCCTGAGCCCCCCTCTGCGCGTGGCCGAATGCTCGCGCCCCCGCGGGTGAACTGGCGAATCCCCGCGGACTCCCCACGCGGCGCGGTCGCCGGTCTGGGACCCCCCGGGGGCCGGAGAGCGGATCGGGCCAGCCGGCAGCGGTGCCGAAGCGAGCCCGTCGGGTCGAAGCGAGGTGCCCGCGGGGGCAGGGCGGGCCCGCGGGCGGCCCGCGGGGGCCTCGAGGCGGACGTCGTACTCGGGGTGCTGCGACGCCTTCAGCATGAACTGCAGGATCCGCCCGCCCCGGGCTCGCCGCCAGGGGCTTCTCTTCTGCGCCTCGTCGTCGTGGTTGCTTTGGTGCCCGCCTCAGGACAGCCCAGACGCGCTCGCGTCGTGGAAGGATCACGCCGAGGGGTTTTTTGACCATTTTCGGCCTCCGGGGGCCCTCGCCGGGCCTCGGGACAATCAAAAACGGCTCGGGATGGCAAACAGGCCCTGGGGAGAGGGTTGGGACTTCAGGGGACCGCGCATTGCAAAAATCAAGACAGCGAAGTGTCTGGGAGCGCTATCTTCGATGAGGAAGAGGAGGAGAAGGGAGGAGAAGGGAGGAGGAGGAAGAGGAGGAGGAGGAGGAGGAGGAGGAGAAGGAGAGGAGGAGAGGAGGGAGGAGGAGGAGGTAGGAGGAGGAGGAGGAGGAGGAGGAGGAGGAGGAAGAGGAGGAGGAGGAGGAGGGAGGAGGGAGGAGGGAGGAGGGAGGAGGGAGGAGGGAGGAGGGAGGAGAGTGGAGGAGAAGGAGAGGGAGGAGGCGCGAAAGGGCAACAGCGCCAACGCCCGAGCACTGCCCACCGCCGAGCGCAAGCAGGCAGGCCTGCCGCAGGGGCCGCACGCCGCCCAAGCCTCGCGTGCGCCGGGGTGCCCCACGAGGAGCGCCCAGCACGGGGCCCCGAGGCGTCAGTCGGCGGGCGGAGCCGCCGGCGGGGGGGGGGTCTTGGCGCACCGCCTCGGGGGCTCGACGCTCGGCCGCCGGGAAGGATCCTGGGGAGGACCAGACATGATCGCGCTACCGACGACGAAGACGCCCAGACAAACCCCCCAGCCGTTTCTGAACCGCTGCGTGCTCTGTGCCTCCTGGGCGGCAATCGCTGCCAAGGGCTGCATATGCCTCGAAGGCCTGGTTGGAACGCACTACGGTAGTGACTGGTACTGAGAGAAGGAAGAAGGGAGGACGAGCGAACCATGCCCTCCTCGTCCTCGTTGCTTCTGTCCGCGACTTCCGTCTCCTCCTTACCTTGCTCCTCTCCCCTTACCTCAGAAATAGCCAACCTTGTGGTAAGCATAAGTTGGTTTCCTTGTCATTCCCCCCAAAGCAATAACGCAGAAATCGACGGGCCTGACTGGACTGTATAGCCTCCTCATCCTCTCCACCCCCATGCTCCAGTGAGTACATTCCAAGACATCGTCGGGGGTCGGCGGAACTGGCGTGGGGTCTCCGGGATTGCCTCGTAGAACTGCGGCGTCAGGCAGCTCCAACCCTCCTCCGTTGGCAAGGCTGAGCGTTGCGCACAGAGAGCCTGATGACAGACGCAAGCTGAGGGTGCCAGGCAAGACCGTCAGACGCCCAGGCAAGACCACTGGACGCCCAGAGCAATCTGGAGGGCCAGGGACACGACAGAACCCTTCCCCACAAGAGAGCTTCTGGCTGCAGTCCGTGGCGGGACACCCAGCGAGACCTCTGCTGGCGCCCCATGGTTGTGGGACCCGATGGCCGGCGCAGACCAACCTGTTTGGCCTGTCGGGGGCAGGCGGGCCTCGACATCTCCGCCGTGGTTCTGCAGCGCGATCCGCAGCCCCAGAGCTCTGAACCCTTCTGTGGCCACTCATGGGCGCCTCCCACAACATCTGTTCGGCTCTTGCGAATCGACGGTAATCGACGCTAAATCGATGCTAGATCGACGCCCATCGACGCTAATCGACGGTCATCGATTGCCAAACGCTAAACGACGCAAATGCACTCTGAAGACGGAATTGCCAGGGTACACGAGGCTCCCATGATTTGCTTTCGAAAGACCCCATCCGCCATGGTCGGAATATGCAGAACACCATTGACGGGGCCCAGGAACACACACACAAATATAAATACGCACAAATCCCAGTGTTCCCCTATATTTTCCCATATTTGTTGGATCTCCGTCTTCCCCCCCCACTTCCCATAGTTTCCCATACTTTCTGGGGAAGCGACGATTATTTGTGTCTCTGTGTGTTCTTCCCTCCCGAACCAGTCGCGGTTCTGCTCGCGACGCCCCGCGGACTGGGTCAGTCCAGCACTGCCCTTGGGTACCGCCCTGGCCACTCTGTCTCCAACTGCGTCCGGCCGTGGCCGCAGAGGCCCTCGAGGAAGCCCAGGGAGGGCAGGGAACCAGGGCTGAACCTGAACGGTGTTTTTCGTTTTCGGATTGGTTCTCTCTCTTCCTTGTGTTGCCTTCGCGTCGCCTTGAATGCAGAGCAAAACAAAAAACAAAACGGCCCAGGAGATGACCAAAAAACAATTTAGGTCCAGCCCTGCAGGGAACATATTCATGTCCTACAGACCGACTAGGACAGAAAAACATTCGGGGAGACGTAAGACTCGGGCACGGGGGCTCGGATTGGCCTGACGGGGCCATCACAAAAATGACGAGACCCAGCCTGCAAATTTGACGCGAGCTCCCGCTGCAGACATCCCACAAAAACTGGAACGTCAAAATCCAGGACGCTCTCGTCAAAAAACGTCGGCAAACCCGAATTCTGGCTCACTCGAAGGACGGGTGGCAAGGACGCAAGACCCTTGGAGGTCGAAATTGGGATTGTCTGGGCGGCGGGCGACCAAAAACCCAGCGGAAACGGCAAAGGACGGGCCGCAGAGGCAAGGAAACAAGGGTACCCTAGAAGAGGCGCGCGTCCTCAGTATGCGGGTTGACTGTAGATGCTCACACCCGAGGACGTTCCTGGGGACCTTCCTAAGAGTCCGACAGACCCGCCGGCCAGCTGCACGCGGGAGGGACCCTGGGCAACAGTGGCCGCTGGCGCGCGCCTTCGGGGGGGCGCGCGGGGAGGACAGATCCAAGCGGGCAGGCCAGTGCTTGGGAGACCCCTTGTGAGCCTGCACCAGTGGTCACCCCGGCGAAGGGTCCTCCTACTCCTCCTCCTCCTCCTCCTCCTCCTCCTCCTCCTCCTCCTCCTCCTCCTCCTCCTCCTCCTCCTCCTCCTCCGTTTGGTGAGACCCAGCGAGGTCCCCAAGGCGCGCATCTGAAGAGGGGGGCAGGGTCGGCCCGAGCTCCAAGGCCCCGCGAGCCACCCCGCACCTGGAGCAGCCCCCGACAAAACCGACCGAGGTGCCCCGAGAGGTGCCTCCGCAGGAGGGGGGGGGGGGCGGGCGCCCTCCAGGACCCAGGCCCCAGGCGTTGCACCTGCTGGTCGCACGCGCGGTCGCAGCCTGGGGGTCTCGACCTCCCGGGAACTGTCTCCTGTCCTGTGTCGATCCTGGCGGTGGGGCCCAGTGAGGGCCCAGTGAGGGCCCGGAGGGGGAGGAGGAGGAGGAGGAGGAGGAGGAGGAGGAGGAGGAGGAGGAGGAGGAGGAGGAGGAGGAGGAGGAGGAGGAGGAGGAGGAGTTGAGGAGGAGGAGGAGGAGGAGGAGGAGGAGTTGGGAGGAGGAGGAGGAGGAGGAGGAGGAGGAGGAGGAGGAGGAGTTGGGAGGAGGAGGAGGAGGAGTAGGAGGAGGAGGAGGAGGACGACGACGACGACGACCCGAGAGGTCGCCCCCAACCGGGCTGGTCGCGCGGCCGGCCGTCCTCCACGGCACTCACGAAGCCCTTGCAGACCAGCTGCAGGATCTCTGGCGAGGTGTCCGTGGCGAGAGCGCCGAGCAGCTCCATGTAGCGCACGCGGGGGGGGGCCAGCCCCAGCAGAGGCGAGGCCTGCCCTGGCCCAAGGGTCCCCCCCTCTCTCTAAAGCAGGGCCCGGCCTGAGCAGGGCCTGGCCCAAGCAGGGCTCCAGCTCCGTCTGTCTCCGAACTGCCTCTGCTGCGACACGACGCCAAGGCGAAAACTGCCCGCGCAATCGCCAAACCACGGCTTGCAGTCAACCCGCACGGTAGGGATGGGCAACCTTACCACAAGGATGCCCTTGCATCCGTGCCCCTTCGGCGCAGCCTCAGCGACCTTCGCTGGCCGGCCTCGCTCGAGAAACGTCAGCTCGGGAGCGGCCGAGAGGGGGGTGTCCAAGAGGGGGGGGTGCAAATCATGACCGGCGGCATGTGCGCGGCCCAGCGGGGGGACCAGGGACGTAATGAAGCAAGACGAGGCGCCATGAAATCTGGGGAGATATCATGGCCCTCGCCATGATATCCACCCCCCCTAGTCATCACCCCCCTCTTTGCCGCCCCGGATTAACATCAGCCTCCACGGCCCTTGCATCCATACCGCGCATTCCTACGACACGAGTTGACCGCAGCTCGCGCCCTGCTCTCGAGGTCGCCCTGGCGTCGCGCACCGCGCCACGCGATGTGCCACGAGCTGCTGCCCCCGAGATCGGGGCATCGCAGTCTTTTCGCAATGGGGGACCTCACCTTGCTCTGGGCCCCGGGGCCCTCGCGGACCGATCCAGCCCGAAAAGCGCGGGAGGAAAGGGGAAAGCACGCTGCGCATGGAGTGACTTGGGCGTTCAGCGGCGAGTTGGATCCGTGAGTGGATCAGCCTTGGAATGCCGATGAGCAGCGGCTTCGATGCCTCGTTTTGGGTGTGGGCCCGCTGATGTCTGGGGCTCCTGTCGCGCTGCTGCTGCACGTGCTGCGCTGCTCTCGTGACGTCGCGGGCGGTGCCCTGGCGCCCTCGCGCCGCCCCAGACCGCCCGTGGCGGAGCACGATCGCCTTCGCGCCCGCGCAGGGCGGCCCTGGGAGAAGGGCACGCGGGGGACTGGCTACGCGGGGGGGGGCGGGGATGTCGACCTGGAGCCGGCGACGCGTCGCCCGGCGGGTGGGCAATCGGCCTCCATGGCGAAGCCGCACACTCCTGGGTGCGGTGGGATCGTGGGCCCCTTTCGGCGACGAGTGGGCGTTTGGGGGTCGATGCACCCCCTCCTAGGCTTAGGTCGGGCATGTCCTCCTACAGGCGGATTTGGGATGAAACTGAAAACAATGAAAAAGTACACACAAATCGTCAGAAATACTGGAAAAATCGTCCCCATACTATTTTTGTTACTACTTTTTGAATTTTCCTTCTGTTCAGGGGCACGCCCGACTTAATCCTAAGCCCATCCCCCCTAACGATGCGTCTGAATGAAGCCCCCGCCTTCTCATAGAATCATAGAGCCGCCCCCCGTAGGCGCGCCCAGGGCCCTCAGGCGCGCCGCCAGCCCCGAGGGCGGGGCGGGGCGGACTGCCCGTGGGCGCTGGACCCCCCGATGCCGAGGTTCTGGAGCCCGTAGGCCTGCTCCTCGGGGTGGCGCGCCCCAGGCCCAGCTCCTCCTCCTCCTCCTCCTCCTCCTCCTCCTCCTCCTCCTCGACCTCCTCCTCCTCGACCTCCTCCTCCTCCTCCTCCTCCTCCTCCTCCTCTTCCTCCTCCTCCTCCTCCTCCTTCATCTCCTCCGCTATCACTACCATCAACCCCGTAACTACGAACATCATCACCATCATCCTCCTCCTCATCCTCATCCTCATCCTCATCATCATCCTCCTCTTCCACCTCCTCCTCCTCCACCTCCTCCCGTTCATCATCATCATCATCATCATCATCATCATCATCATCATCATCAGCATCATCATCATCATCATCATCATCATCATCATCATCATCGTCATCATCATCATCATCATCATCATCATCGTCATCATCATCAGCAGCATCATGCGCATCAGCATTCTCATCATCATCATCAGCATCAGCATCAGCGTCAGCATCATGCGCATCAGCATCCTCATCATCACCAGCATCCTCATCATCATCATCCTCATCCTCATCATCATCATCATCATCATCATCATCATCAGCATCATGCGCATCAGCATTCTCATCATCATCATCATCATCAGCATCCTCATCATCATCATCAACAGCAGCAACAGCAGCATCGTCATCATCATCATCATCATCATCATCATTCTCATCCTCATCCTCATCATCATCATCATCAGATGCAGCATCATCATCATCATCATCATCATCAGCATCCTCCTCATTCATCATCATGATCAGCAGCAGCATCATCAGAATTATCATCATCATCGTCGTCATCATTATCAGCATCATCATCAGCAACATCATCATCAGCATCAGCATCGTCATCATCATCAGTGGCATCGTCCTCATCAGCATCAGCAGCAGCATCATCATCATCATCAGCATCATCATCATCATCATCCTCATCCTCATCCTCATCCTCATCCTCAGCCTCAGCCTCATCCTCACCGTCGTCATTCATCATCATAAGCATCATCGTCGTCATCGGCATCGCCATCGCCGTCGTCATCGTCGTCGTCAACATCATCAGCATCAGCATCATCAGCAGCATCATCAGCCTCATCATCATCAGCAACAGCATCAGCGTCAGCATCACCATCACCATCATCACCATCAAAATCATCATCATCAGCATCGGCATCATTATCATCACCGTAATCCTTATCGTAGCCTTCATCATCATCAGAAGCAGCACCATCATTATCTCAACATCACCAAGATCATCACGACCATCATCATGCATCATCGTCATCAAAGTCATCAGTATCATCATCATCATCATCATCATCATCATCAGC